CTGGACATGGTCCGTTACGTTGCTGACCATCAGTCTGCCATCCGCTTGCGAACGCTGCATCTGAGCGGCAGGAATCTCCGATTACGGACAAACTGCGCTAAGAACACATTGCGCTGGGACCAATGCACCCAGCATGATGTCAATGTCGAACGTAACCCGGAATGCTTGAAAGGTTTTGTGGAATTGTACGGCGCTCTGCCGTGTCATGTCTTACGTCTGACAAACTGCACAATCACCCTGCACTGCTCTATTTCCGGAGTGTCTACGTGGGAGGAGTTAGGCCCTACTTTATCAATGGAAGTTTCGACGGCGAACATCGGACTCGGTGCCGATTTCGGTTGTACACTGTGGAATGCGTTGGAGGCGGCGCTGTCGGTGCCGCGTGCGGAGGAATTGGTTGAGCTGTCGCAGTGGTTGGCACAACTGAGTGACTCGCAAATGGAAGACAAAATAGTCGTTTGCAAGGTACGTAGAAGAAACGGCGGAATTGCGTAGGATTTGGAAAGATATCATTGATGTACATAAGGTAGTAACATGGATTTAAAGTGTGTAAATATGTAGGTAGTGCTGCATCACTCTTTTTCATGTGTGACATAAGCCATTTGAGAAAACATTTTATAATTTTTATTCATAAAAAAGATAAGTGTCAATAGATGCACTGAAATGCGTAATCAAGATAAGGAACACTCATTTTCCAGTCAAAAATCAGTTAGCAGGTGAAATCGATAGTTTGCAACTTTGCAGTAGAAGTAAATCCTGTGGCATAAGTGGAATGAAATGAAAGTCAATGCTTCATATTCAGGTTATTCAAGTTATTAATTTTTGCAGACTTTGTGTGCGGTGCAGTCGTGTGATCCACGTCTATCTTCGCATTATCGCGGGAAGAAGTGGTGCGTGGAGGGCTTGCAACAACTGCAGTTGGAGAAGCTGTCGAGGCTAGCCCTGCATTTTCTCCTGCAAATCCAATCGAAAAGTGATGAGACGGGAGGTTAAGTGGGGTGCCGGACTTTCTCAACCTAGTGCAATGCAATTATAATGCTTTTTATCCTATGCATTCGGAGGATCCTATGCAACGGCGACATTTAACTTCTTTCTTTTCTTTCGTAGGCAATGTAAACCGCTGTTTCGATTTATATGTATTTTTGTGTAGGATCATAGGATGTGCAGCCAATAAATTAGCGGTGTGAGTTTTTATGCGCAGCCTAGTTGCCATAGTAGACCTCGTGGACGATCAGTTGGATTACATTTACAAGACCGATGCCTATCTTTATGATACTGAAAATAAAATTCTGGTAAACATAATCGTCTTTCTTTGTTAAAAACGTCGGAAGACTGCTAAAAAGTTCAACTGAACTCCTTGCTCCTTCATTTGTTTGCGATACGTGTACCACAAACACAATAACACCATACCATCCGTGTTTTATCTGGTCCGCTTTACAGTCCTTAGTAAACTGTGCCAACAACTTATTAACACAAGCCTGGCTGTCAAAGAACCCCGTAGAATACTGTGGAGATGGACCTTCGGACCGGCTATTGCTCCCGACGGAAGTGCTTCTGCAAATCTTTGCCCAGCTGGAAACTGTCACGCAGACAGCGTTGAGCGCGGTTTCCGCTTCCTGGAAAGAGATGATGGAGTCGCCAACGCTAGTTTCCACTATTGTCATTAAAAATTCAGCCGATTTTAAAAGCAAGGTTTTTTACACTGCCAGTCACCATTTTTTTCTCTCGGCCACCATTTACAAACGCCTCCGTCCTGGCACGAAACGCGTTGTAGTAGACAGCGAACGTTCGCAACTGGACATCAAGAACGTGTTGAAAGGATTGGACATGATACGCTACGTTGCTGATCACCAGTATGCCACTGGACTCCGAACGTTGCATCTGAGCGCCATGAAGCTCTGTCTGGGGATGAGCTGCGTCAAAAACATCCTACGCTGGGACGAATGCACGCATCACCAGCCCAACCGTACGGATTTCCAACGTAACCCGGAGTGCCTGCACTGTTTTGTGGAATTGTACAGCGCTCTGCCGTGTGATGCTATCCGTCTAACAAACTGCACGGTTGCTTTGACGTGCTCTATTCCCGGAAGGTCAAAGTGGGAGGGATCAGGCCCTACCGTGTCAATGGAAATTTCGACGGCGCACATTAGACTGGGTACCGGTTTCGGTTGCACACTGTGGAATGCTTTGGAGGCGGCGCTGTCGGTGTCGCGTGCGGAGGAACTCGTTGAGTTGTCGCAGTGGTTGGCACACGTGAATGACTCGGAGATGGATACCAAAATAGTCGTATGCAAGATATGTACTCATCGTGACGGAATTTCGTAAGTAAGGTCCTGCCTAACATCTGTACTTTGTAAATGTAAGATAGGGCTAACTTTTTGTGACTCCATTAAATAACTATAAATAAATGAGAAGAGATGTACGGCAATGCCCAGATGAAGGCAAGAGACACTGATATGTACTCCTGGTGACAGAGGAAATCGCTTGTTTAGCCATTACCATGGGGCAGGGGTTCCGTGGGTATCTGCGATAAGCATGGTCGAATGAAAAGAATAACAAAGCTTGTTATTCGGCCTATTTAACTCTTTGTAAACTTTGTGTGCGACGCAGTCGTGTGATCCGCGACCATCTTCGCATTATCGCGGGAAGAAGTGGTGCGTGGATGGCCTGCAACATCTGCAGTTGGAGAAATTTTCAGTCTGTAAACCTTTAATAAGTATCACAATGCTAGTACAAAACTGAGTACCAAAGCAGAATATAATTTATAATAAAAACACTTCTTCGATGCTATCCTGTTCGGGGATTGTACCCATCACCCTTATCGCGTTTCCCCGTTGCATTTGAATAGATAGCCGCTGCCTAAAAAACTCTTTTGCGCGTTTTTGGCCGGTAGCAGTTGCAATTCCGTTTCTTATCTTCTGGACGAGCGTTTTAGTTCCATTTCCCCAGGGTCCGTAGATTTCAAATGCTGCTGCCATGAAATTGTACCTTGGTTGCAGCCAGCCGTGTTTTGTCAGCTTTCCTCGCTCCGCGTGCTCGGCCGCAGCCCCGACGTTCACCAGGGTCCGATCAATATACGAAGCCGCCAGTGTGTCTACGCAAGTCACATCGATAGCCAGTGGCTTTCCGCGCTCCCAGGGTACGAGCGTGATCACGTCCGGCCTTTTGCGATCTTTCACAGAGAGACCTTTTGGTTCCATCCTGGCTGGGAAACCTGCGGTTTTCAGGCCGCGGGTGAACTCTCCGCTGAGGCCATCATGTCTTGGCAATCTGCCGGCTGACCGTTTACAACGGAGCCCGTGCCGCCCCAGTTGGAGAAATTGCCGCGCCTAAGCCTGCACTTTCTTCTGCAAGTCCGATCTAAAACTGAAAAGACGGGCAATTAAGTGAGGTGCTAGGTTTTTGTTTAGCTAGCGCAATGTTGGTTGAGTTTTAATGGCGCTTTGTTTTATAATACTGAGCTGCTCTTTCCCCTTTTTATTGCTTTTATTTCGCATTCTTCGCTGAGTTTCGTTTATAGCGGCGACGGTTGATTATTCTTTCGTAACTGCCACAAGCCCTGTAATGGTTTCTGTTCATATTTTGTAAGAAAACGCAACAGTGGGTTAGCGTTGTCAGTTTTCGCATGCTACATTCAGCTGCTGAGATACCGTAATTATCGAATTTGAAGCCCCCCCGTAATTAGAGCCCACCCCCAAGGTCGTTTGAAAGTTATAAGCCCCGAAATAGAGGCCCATGGGCTTAATTAAATACCGTAAACCCCATTTAAAAAATGCCAAAAAGCTGGTTTGAAAAATTGAAGCCCGCCCCCTAAATACAAGCCCATGCCCGTATTCGTAATTGGAGCCCACCCCGTGGGTCATTTGTAATATTTGTAACCCTGGGCTTCTAATTCGATAAATACGGTATTATGGCGAATTAAAAGTTAATGAAAAACAGCTCGCCAAAATCCGCGCGCTTTGCAACCGGTAGTGGAAGTTCTTATTCATTCAGTTGATTAAATCGTACGTAACAACGAAATAGGTTCTCTAAATAGAACTCGTATACAGTACCACATCTTATTGTCATGTTATACAGAGGTCTCGCACATCATCTAGAAAACTATGCAGGTAACGCATTTAGAGCATCTGATCGACAAGCAGCGTCGCACCATAAATGCTAAACTCTCAAGGATCGACTTGGCACAAGAAGTAGAAGGGCCTACTCCTCCCTATACACTGCGAGTGCCAGCAGATTGGTGAAAAGGAGGACGGCGGCGGCGCAGCTCACCACCACCCAAGGCTGGTTGCGGGGTTCTTTATTCGTCAGGAAAAGGTCATGGCCCATAATCTACTAGCGTACAAAAGATCACGGTAGGCGGCCGATAGACCACTGCTGTTGACCTCGTAGCTCTAGAGAATGCTCAGTCGGATATTGGCGGCCGTCGACTGTCCGTGCAGTTCATCCAGCAGTGTGATGATGGTATTGGTTTCGTGAGGAAAAACTGGCAAATGCCATCAAATACAACGCCCAAGAGCAAACGAAAACAGGAGGGACGCAGATAATTTCTACAGCATCACGAGAGAGTGATGATCACATGGACGACCAGCTGCGTTGTGCAGTCGATGGCGGAGTGGCTGCACGTCGGGACTCCGGAATCGAGTCGGTCGCGGTGGCGTTCTAGATCACGTTTGTCATGTAAACATACAAAACGTCAAGTGCTGCCAGCCAAGCACTACCCTTTACTATGGAACAGCCGTGACTTCCTGGAGACTCGAAGGGCTGGGCATATTGCATACCCAGTTAGCTGTCCGAAAAACGGTCAGGCCGTCTGATTGGTGTACACAATAGCCGCCCTCTTAGTGCGTATAATGCATGCCTTTCCAATGGAAATTATCAGTTCTCTCGTGTTCAAGCATTATAACCGTAGTCTCGCGTGCCCATGGTATTGTACTTTGCTGAATGAATTTGCATTCAGTTGCTGAAATTGCTATCCAATCATTTGCCCAAAATTCAGTTTATTAACCAGAATTATTTGTCGATGCAAGAAGATGGCTTTTCTAAAGCACCGCATGAACAGTGTAGGGGTGCTGGGGGCTAACGGCCTCATGTACTGTGGCCGTGTGGTGGGCGCTGCAAACAACGGACTTCTGCTAGAGTTTCACGGCTTCCAGCGAGAACGCTTTCTATTCCCGTTCGACAAGGTCTTCACATCATGGCCAACACAGGAAAGTCATGTGGCCACAAATTCGGACGAGCTATACAGGAAGATGCCAATAGAGCTTCTGGTACCGGAGACAAAAAGTGGTCCATGGATCTGGGTGCCCGCTGAAATGACTATTGTGGATTTTGATACTATTTTCTGCCAGTGGTTCGAGGCGGTTATTGTTCATTGGCGAAACGAAGCCAGCGGTGCTCTCTGCACGGACATTGTTCTTGCTGAGCGCATCCGCAGGGGTCTGACATACGAGTGCACCAAACCAGGAGAATTCGCCAAAGGCAGCGTGCCACTGAATGAAGAAGTTCGGTCGATGTCTCCGGAGAAACTGGAAGACCTGATGAAGCGGTTGAACGAATATTTTCGATCTAAGTTAAATTCGGGTGCTGTTATCGTGGACCTCGTGGACGGCCGATTGGATTACATTTATAGGCCTGATCTCTGTAATTCTTATGCCGATAAGGAGATTCTGGTAAGGGTAATAAGCGGAAGACTGCTAACCTGTTTCTCCTGACTTCCGTGTTCCTTTTATATGTTTGCGGCGCGTGTTTCATCTGGTCCGCTTTGCAGGCGCGCGTACACTTTGAGAGCACCCACTTAACACAGCGCTGGCTGACGAGCAACCTGGTGGAAAACTCTGGAAATGTGTCACCGGACCCGCTGTTGCTTCCGGCAGAAGTGTTGCTGCAGGTCTTCGCCCATCTGGACACTGTCACGCAGACAGCACTGGGCGCGGTCTGTGCTTCTTGGAATTGGATGATGGAGTCACCAACGCTAGCTTCCACTATTGCCATTAAAGCTTCAAGAGATTTCCAGACCAGCTGGGAGTATTCCAAAATCAACCATTTCTTCTACGTGGCCGCTATCTATAAACGCCTGCGCCCATGCACGCAACGTGTTGTAGTCGCTAACAAACATTCGGAGATGGGCATCCGCGACGCGTGGAGAGTGCTGGACATGATCCGCTACGTTGCTGACCATGAGTCTGCCATCCGACTGCGAACCTTGCATCTGAGCCGCCGGAATTTCCATTGGGGGATCCACTGTGCTAATAACTTTCTGCGCTGGGAGGAATGCTGGCAGCATCAGCATGACCTAACCAAGGCTCAGCTTTATCCAAATTGCCTTCGCTGCTTCGTGGAATTATACAGCACTCTGCCGTGTGATGCCATCCGTCTGACAAACTGCACGGTTACCTTGATCTGCTCTATTTTCGAATTGTCAGGGCGCAAGGACTTAAGACCTACCGTGTCAGTAGAAATTTTGACGGCGCACGTTAAATTGGGTGACGATTTTGAGTGCACGCTGTGGAATGCGCTGGAGACGGCGCTGTCGATGCCGCGTGCGGAGGAACTCGTTGAGCTATCGCAGTGGTTGGCACAATTGGATGACTCGCACACGGATGCCAAAATAGCCGTGTGCAAGGTATGCAATCAAAGTGGCGGGAACTCGTAAGGTTTGAAGAGAAGTCTTTGCTGTGGTAGTATGGGTGTTTGCGATATACACTGAGCTGCTGGCCGAATGAAAAGAATGACAAAGCTCGTTATTCAGTGACTTAAGCCACTCAATTCTTTGCAGACTTTGTGTGCGGCGCAATCGTCTGATCCGCGTCCATCGTCGCATTATCGGGGGAAGAAATGGTGCGTGGATGGCTTGCAACATCTGCAGTTGGAGAAGCTGTCGCGATTAGCCCTTCACTTTCTCCTGCAAGTCCAGTCAGAAACTGATAAGACGGGCGATTAAGGGGTGGGGCCCAAGTTTCTTTAACCTAGCGCAATGCTAGTTGAGAGTAAAGTTTTAACGGCGCTTTATCCTATTGTATATTGTCCAGTTCTTTTTATGTTTTCTTTGCAGCGACGAAATTTGATTGTTCTTTCGCAGCTGTCAAAAACATTGTGAACGATGCGTTCTATTGTAACGTTTAGAGCATTCGGCCTAAGAATTCGGCTGCTGAGATTGTATTACGGAATTGAAATGAACCGAATGTCTGAAATATGCGCACTTCATTGTCAGTTTGTCGCTGTGGCACTTACTTAATCGTGCTGAAACAGGTCAAACTACTAATACAATCATCAAACCAAACAAGTTCTTCAGGTTACATATTTACGAGTAGGACTAACTCTATACAGGCCAAACTCAAAGATCAGAAAAAGTCACGTGACGGTAGATGAGACGCCGTTGTTTAGCCTGGGCCTACTGTACATTCGCTTGGTTGTTTGGAATACTGCCCGGTCCTCTGATTGTCATATGCAACAGTAGCACCGCCCGCCATTGATGGGTGCTTGAGTGGGATGTACGCCTTTGCTATGGCAGTGATCAGTAACTGAGTAAATGTTAGCCTGCAATGTTTTGTGAAGTTATATATGTAGCACTCTGCCGTGTGATGCCGTCCTCCGCACAAATACCGACAGCGCCGCCTCCAACGCATTCCACAATGTGCAGCCGAAATCCTTACTCAGTCTGATGTGCGCCGTCGGAATGTCCAACCGTAAAGTAGGACCTAATTCCTCACGCTTGGCCTCTTCGGAAATAGAGCAGGTCAGGGCAGTCGTGCAGTATGTCAGACGGAACTCGATGAACTGTCGCAGTGGTTGGCGCAACTGGATAACTCGCGCAAGGACGCAATCGTCGTGTGCAAGGTACGTTGAAAAGGAGTTGGCGTTGAGACTGAGGCTACATAACGTTTTTCGCAGACTTTATGTGCGCAGTCAGGTGATCCACGTCCATCTTCGCATTATTGCGAGAAAAAGTGGTGCGTGGACGGCTTGCAACATCTGCAGTTGGACAAGTTGTCACACCTGGCCTTGCATTTTCTTCTGAAAGTCCAGTCACAAGCCGGCAGGATGACCTATTGAGCGTGGTACAAAGAAGTCAGTCCTGCTTAACCTTGATAATAACTGAGTAGGAAGTTGGTGGTATTTTGCATACTGCTGCAGAGTCTGCACATTTTGCGTTCTAGTTTTTGAATATCGTTTGCTTTTGAATCGTGTTAGCAACTAATGGGTAGCAACTTTGCAGTGTCAGTTATCGCGTGCAGCATTCGGTTGCTAAGACTGTACTGTGGCGAATTAAAAGGAACAAAACAATTGCGTGCACTTTATCGCCGGTAAGTTTCGGTGTCCAGTTGCCGCGGTGGAATTAAATATAAAACTAAAATAAAAGTTTTTATACAGCATGCTTACGCCAGATCAATTGGCAGTTGTGTAGCTGTACTGCTAACTGGAATACCTAGTTTAATAATATTAATCCTGTTATAACTGTAATAGTCGTGTACGGATAACTGTCAAAACAGCTGCGAGCAACAACCATTCATTTTAATTTTTAGTTCTTATAGTAAAGACTGTATAATATTACTGCGTAAGAAACCCAATAGCTCTCGTCACTGAATTCATAGTTTTCGTCCCAGTCTGTATAAAAACGTGAGCAGTGATTCACGCAGCAGCTTCACTACTATAGGAAAACAACCGCACGCAAAGGATATTATCGCACACAATCTTTTCCATAGTTTTCTTTCGCGTCATCAGTAGCCGTCCAAACATGAAACACTACCGCATTTTCTTGTCAAACTGCTGGAGAAACGTGACATGTACAGTATACAGTGTTCAGGGATTCGGCAGATATCCATTTGACCGGCATTTGTCACTTGCCGGAACGAATCATTTTCCAGGGTTGTTGTTCGGGTTAGGGTTGTTGTTAGGCGCGTTAGGATTACTGCCAGGTCCAGCACCACCACCCGGTTGCGGAAATCCATTCTGATTATTATTAGGGTTATTGTTGCTGTTAGGCGCGTTGGGACTGCTGAACGGTAGGCCGATATCGTGCATGAGTGACGGCACAAAACCTGTCAGTGGACCCTGATTATTTGGATTAACCACGTTATTAGGATTTTGGGTTGTGCAGAAGCCTACAAGGAAAAGAAGAAGGAGGATAGCACGGTTCATAATGGCGTTGTTGTCGTTGCGGAGGCACAAAAATATAGGGATTTTGATTACGTTATATGCTGCGTACGAAAGCGAGTATCGCGGATTGTACGAAAGCTGTACAATAATCAAAGTATCGATGAAATTGTTCAACGTACCAAACCTTCGGCGAGCTGTTTATATGCTGGCTCGGGTGAAAGCATCGGAAAGTTCCGTCAATCAACAATTTGGTATGATTGACAGTCAATTAGTTTATTGTGTCTGTTGGCTTTGTCTCTGTTAGTTGTGTTGTTGTTTTTCTCTGAATCGAAGATTACCCCATAAAATATTATTATTATTTCTAACTGCCTGTCAGCGTGGCACTCGCGGGCTGTTCGTTTATAAGGTACTATATACCTACTTCGCGGGGTTCGGTTGACTGATGCCACGAAAATGTAGCTAGCTAGCACTTGTAAGAGTATTCGCATAGATATAATTATAGACAAACATTTTATACTGGCGCACTCTACTTACTGTACAGCTTTGACTACTGTGCCGAGATTTAACGCGTATTTAACAGTTAAACTCGCAATTTCTTGGTTCGTACTTCGTTATCTCCGTACACAGCTTTGCAGTGATTCTAAACCGCTTTCGGTTGGACACTTGCTTCTTATTGTTAGATAATACATAAATAATCAAAATAGGAGCTTTACTACTCATAATATGGTATCTACTGTATTAGGCTTTTAAGGAGGCCCTTAGAGTACTTAAATTTTTTTCATGCTTTCGTAGAACTAAGTAATTACGGTTGTAGTATCTGTACAGCGCAAATTTTATGCAGAGAAAATGCCCTTAGGAAACAATTATAACGGTGTCGCCGTTAACACCGAAGCGGAGGTCTCCGTTGTTATCGCAGCCGGTATAAAAGCCTCGCAATTGCAAGATATTGCGAATAACTAGTCAAGTGCACCGCTGTTGACTGGCATAAAATAGGATCAAAGCCAAAAAAACTGAACTGCATCAACTGTTTATCGAATTAAAAACAGATATGGTAAACTTAAAGAAAATCGAGAAAAACAAGCGAATTCTGGGCTCGGGAACGATTCCTGTGTAATGTATACGAATTATTTGGCTGTTATAAGACATAAAACGATGGACATAAGACGCGTTCTCATACAAAAAAGTGTATCAGAGCGAGCAAAAGCGAAAGTTTTAATAAATGGGACGAATTTGGGACAATAAGCCGGGGCATTTCCTTCCAGAAGCTGTGTGACGCTTCCAGAAGCTTCCAGAAGCTTCCAGAAGCTTCCAGAAGCTTCCAGAAGCTATTTGTGAAAATACGCACACGTTTCTGCCGACAAGGTCAATTGGCCGCGGCGGAAGTACGTTATCGTGCGGAATAATAAAGCAGTTAATTGATAAAATCCTCAAACCAATTAAGTTCTTTAAGCAGCATTCTTGCAATAAATCTTGCTGTCAGTAAAGTTACCCGGATGGGCGAAGTTAATGATACATCAGAAGTATCACTACATTATTTGTTACATTGTGGTGCTTTGAACAATCAATTGCGCGTGAGGGAAGTAATAGGTTTACCGCAGGCTAAGCACACTACAGATTCTATCAATATTGGTAACGCGTTCAGATATGTCTATATATGACCGACGAACAACGTGTGAGATGAGCTGCCTTCTACGGTATATTGCCACTACCGACGGATGAATGTAACTGAAATCGATTGTCACTCAAACTTTTCATAATTTACCAACAGCCTCTGGATAACTAAACCAAACCCCGTGCTGAGATGTCAGTGCTACTTTTCCCCGAATACCTTCTGTAAATGTGTGTCTCTTTTATTGGTTTAGTTAGCTGGCAGAATTAGAAAGATCACAGTTAAAAACATTATAAATTTGAAAGTTTGTAAATTAAGAGAAAGGTATCTTACCTACTAAGCAGCGAAGTGCACCGCTTCAGGCTAGAACCATAAGATCGAAGCGAAGCTAAGAACAGTTCAGGTAATATTGGTTTTAAAAGCGTGTATTGTGTAGCGGCTCATAGTGGGAAGGACTGAAGTCTGAAAGTGCATTAACTGGGGAAGTGGTACTATAAATAAGACTTTAATAACGTCCCACAAAATAAAAGAGAGCAACACACATCAGTGCCATCGCAAACGATAAAAAATGCAGCTGCTATAGTAATCACATAAGTATCTGATGCTTTTCCCTGTGGATTTGCCTCTCAGTATTCACAGGAATGAATGCAGCAGTTTTACAATCTACATAGCAACGCATTCGCCAATGTCTCGTGTTGTGCACATTTGTATTCACCAATCTTCTCATACAAGAATGATGTGACGTGTCGTCCACAACCCCAATTATGTAGCCGGAGTTCAGCCGCGAAACCGGTATACAGATAACTTGTTATTATTGTTGCACAGTGAGAATCGACGGTCTGCGTGAGCGTGAATTATTATTCCGGATGTCTGCTTACCGGTGATTATGTCGGCTTTTTACGGCGTGCGCATTACGAGAACTTTCCGCGACGTCCATGAGAAAACTTTAAGCTGTTCGAACGGAATCAATTTTAGGTAATGATTCACTTGAGTGAAATCGAATGCTAAACAAGTAATTATATAAGGAGCACTTGTAGACAGTTTACAGTTCTATGTACTGTACCGTAGACAGAACAGCAAAAGGCACCGCACAGATTGCCTTGCATTATGTATCGCATTTGCTTCGTGTAAAGCGTGAAATTTAGTACGGTATGTACTCGTACTATGTTGCCTTTGGAACTTCGTTTTAACCTGACTTCTTGCTAATCTGTCTTCTTGATCTAATGGCACATATATGTTCGCTACCCATCCGTCTGTTTCTGGTTGTTGTACTGCACCGGCAGGTGAGGATCAAGTAGATTTCTAAGTTTCGAGCTGAAATGTTAAGTTTCAACTGCATCGTTGAATCGTTGAAATTCAACTGCATCGTTATTTTACGATAGGGTAAATGGATATCGGCACAGTCATCCGGCGTGACAGGTTTGTAATTATAAAATTCTTTGTTATGGTTAACCGTAGAAAAAAGGGACATACTTACTAAAATATACACAAGCAACTTTGCAATATAAATCTGAAACCGCAGACCACTTGAACTGCAATGGTACAGCACACACGTGACAGAAAGAAGTCAGTGATGGTGTCGAATTGCTGTCAGCTTTATTGTGCTCAATTTTATCTTGTTTTCAGATTCGCTAATGGCAGAACTCGACCATACAGTCAAAACAGAATCTAGCCAAATGCAGTACTTCGTGACAACAGATGCTCGTCTTCTTATTTACCAGACGGAAACCGTGAGGAATATGCAAATTCAGCAGATTCATGGGATATGGTGCCACGTTTTAAGGGCCAGTAGGTGCAAACTTCAGAACAGTGTTATTTAATTTCTTATATTCTACTATGCAACTAAATATACTTACGCATTGCTTTAAAATCATTATTTCTGTCAGTAAAAAGAATTTTTCTCTTGTTGGGTTTTTTCACTAAAGAAATAAGAGCCACAGTCAATTTACAGATGATGACTGTTCATCCGTTCTGTTCTTCTCGTGGAACGTTACGACAGTGCCACCCAAATCAGAAACCTCTTATTCTATAAAGGAAATTGTCCACTTTGTCATTGTCAGTCCCAGATTTAAACCAGAGGTTAGTAACGATGCAATTCGGAACGAATTCGACCAGATGCTGATAAAACAAGCCATCTGGGGCGTCAACGCTGTCGATACCGGGAATAGCGACCCTTTCGCTTTGATTGATTCGGTGTGGATGTACTCGAACGACGATGTCAAAACCCAGTTGTTGGAAGAGCTGAAAAGGTTATGGCAAAAGGTGCTGGGCGACGTTGTATCGCGCCTGGAACTGCATAGAGTGGAGATCATTCCCGAATCTGCACAAGAATTTGATACTGCACGGTCTGTACCCATCAAGGTGGTGTTCTTGGTGTTTGGCGAAAGTACCGAGAGGATTAACGAGGATCAAGCCAAGCTGAATATCCGTCAGGTGGTTTCCGGTACACGCATACCGACATTTCTCTGGTCACCGTTTTCGGTGTAGGAGACCAGTTTGTCCAAGAGGAGGGTGCAATGGCATCTCGAAATTCTTTGAAAACAAGGGCTGCTATTCGGTTAAAAAGTATATTTCATCGTCGAAACCTGACTCACGCTGTTTATAAACTGGATCTGGCTAAGGCAGGAGATTTCCGGCAATAAAAACTTGACATCATTAGCACCCAGCAGGTGTACTTAATTTATTGTGTCTGCTGGCTGTGTCACCGTCAGTTATTTTATTGTGCTTTTCTCAGTCGAAGAATTACCCCATGAAACAATATTACGTATGTGAAACAGCTTGCCTTGTGTGGCTGCTGTCATTCGCGTCGGAAAAAATGAATTCGCGATGTGACCCGGTAATTTTCCTTGCTTAAGTTGATTTCCACAAAGGTCCCGAAGATTATCCAGAAGTGTCGTGCTGGTTATGCGTTCAGAGCTTCTGGTCGACAAACAACGTCGCACCATGCTCGCCAGATATTTAGGGATCGGCCTTGACACCGGAGGGACATATCCCTTAGTGAGTTTAAGCAGGGACGCATCGGATGAAAAATGAGTTTGCTGGATTTTATCCATCTTGAACGCCTCTCCCTCCAGCTGCGCTATCCTGTAAAACCATCTGGTCTGGATTTCGTAACAGCAGTCAATCAGGTCGTGTAATACACCGCCCAGACTTCATATATCCGTGAGGAACCCCACCGGTTCGTGCTCCAGTCCGAAGTGGGACATTGCCATTTCCGGGGACATAATATTATAAGAAGCGGTGCCCTTCATCTTGAAATCGGTCTGGTTGGCACGTTCATCAACGTGCACGGCTCCATCCAGATCTCCGATGAGAATTTTGTTGCCGTTGATTACCGGTTTCAGAAAAATGTTGCTGGGCTTCACGTCGCCGTGAATGAAACGATTTCGATCAAGAAATTCAAGACCGCTGGCTATTTGCGCAGCATAATTTATCATGACATGATTGACATCCACTTTGAGACGGTTTTTGCTTGGCTTGCAGTGATCAATAAAGGATGCGAGGTCCCGCCTAATAGTTTGCGGTTTATTAGGAAAGAGACACTAGGCGTCTAAACTTTTAAGATGCATTGACTGTGAAATATCTCAAGCACTTTTTAATGTGAGCTCCGTTAGATGTTACCTCGTCCGGTCGTACGATTTCGGAAATCTTGTGCCCGTTCAACCGGACCAATCGGACCGGCTTATCGAAATTTTCTAAACAGCATCTTTCAGCATTCCTTAGTAGGGTAAACCAGTTTTTGCGCCCCACGTGTCACCCTGACTTTGTGACTCGTACATGCGAATACTTAACGTGAATACACTTGATTAAGAATTGCCAGTACTTTGTTTGTGATTGAAGCGGAATGCTTTCCCGAATCGTTCCTTCGCAATATTCTGTCATAAAGAGCAAATCCACGCCTCTGATCAGTTTCCGGAAAGCGAGTTGATGGTAGGCTACTAAATTCGCATGCCTCACATTCAGCAAATTTTTCCACTGTTCTTGAAGCCGGCTCCAAGAGTTTTAACGTTTCAGCCGTTTAACCTGGACGTTGGATAACAGAATTTCTTTAACGGCCACTACATTTCCCCCGGTATAACTACCACGTTCCGTGATCTTCGTCCTATAAACAGTACCAAATCTACCTTGTCCGATGAAATCCTGTGGGAAGGTATAATCATACTTGCATATACAGCCAACGACTTCCATCAAAGGCTGACCTTTCTCCCGGTTAGTGCTTGCATTATCGCTATAAAGGCTTCGCTTATCGCTGTATTCCCAAGTGCTTCCATACGTCTGTTCTTCAATTTCGACCAATTTATTGAGTTGGTCTCCAGCAGTTATGCGCTGCTCGCAATCCGTGGATAAACACCGATTAATAATACCAGCAAAATCTTTTGGGATGCTTTCCGAGGTATGCAGTACGTAATCATCCGCTAAAGCTTGCAAAACCTCGAACGGTCAACGCTGCGTAATGATTAACGGATTTTTAGTTATCCTGTGGCGGAATTCCCGGCGGAATTCCGCTGGTTTTCGCTGCCGGCTGGCTACGAAACAGCAGCGTGCCAGATACTGAATCATGCAACCCAAACTCCAGATATCGGTTGATCGCTCTACACACTGGCGCGGATTTATCAAAACCTTCTGGAGTTTTTCCGGTGACATGAAAAGACTTTCCGTGCGTGATGGAGGAATGTCTGTGACACCGGTTCGAAATTCCATCGATTCTAGCGTGCCGGTATTGAAATGCAAAATAAAATTTTGGTTACCAATTGGCCGGTTCACCAAAACGTGGCTGGGATTCAGTTTGCCGCGGATAATGTCCTGTTCATGCCAATAAGCCCCATTGCCCAACTGTTCGCCACAGGCATATTAACATTTAGTGGCCGTTTCCACCCCATGCTATCAATGATACTATGCAGATCTCTACCTAAAAAAGTTTAATTTAACTTTAACACTAAACTTATTAAATTACAATTAACCTACAGAGCTACTCTGTATGCTAAGTGCCCTTAAAGAATTGCCTGTATGTATAACTAAGTATAATTGTGTTTTTAACGTAAGTGCTATGTATAATTAAGCGCTTGTTACAAAAAGTTTCAAGAAGATCGGAAAATAGCCTGCTCTTTAATACAAGCTCATACAGTTTTAATTTTTACGCCAATATATGCAAATCATTTGGCTGTAGAAAATGTAGAAAGTAATTCATAACATGCCCAAATTTGAGAATTTCAGAGGATGCATACGAAGCTGGTACCATTATGCAAGAATCTCTTCCCCCAATTCGAGGATCTATTCCAATAATCAGTCTTTCTGACCTGCACAGTAATCCATAAGAAGCTCCGTGTATATCTCTTGCTTTTCATGGAGCCGGTTAAAGCAAACTTTATGCACAAAAATCACGTCCTCATGGCGCAATTGCAGCAGCTTCTCATAATCCTTGGTAATGTCGCCCATCTTCAAATTACTCAGCATGTTCTTTATCAGGACATCGTTTGGAAACAATGTTGTGATCTTCTTAACAGCAACTACGATCCGTAACTGTAGCATAAATACTGTACTGAAAGGTCGCCGTGTTGAACCTAGCTTGGTCCATAATTATGCGGCAGTGCGCTCCCAAATCCAGCATTACGTGGATTGTATCGCTGACGCAACGGCCCGATTTGCTAACGTGTGGATAATCGGTTTCCTCATTTGCTTCTTCCATGATACACAATATTGATAATCATCGAAAATCTGATCGACTGTAATAACTGTCAGCTTAAGAAATTACGAAAACATTCACCGCGATCTGGTAACATGGATTCAGTAATTATTATTGTCTTTGAGTTCCCGTGTGCAGTATTATGAGCTTGCTGTACATGTGCCACCATATTGGCGCATAGCGAACCTCACATGTGGCATAAGAATAATCAAGTTATTATGTACAGTTTACCACGACGCAAGTAAAAATATGTTCGAGTATCACAACAGAACGTTAGTCTGTGTTTATTTGCTTTTCGCATGGCAGCAATCAGAGGTTCGGTGTATATACACCTCGAAGCTCGATCCATGGTGATCGTTGACATTAATTTTAGAATAAAAGTGATTACGAGAATTGGTCGAATGCATTAAACTTAATGCGCAGAAAGCATTTTAATCAGATTTGTGTGGCGCAACTGCGTTGCAGGTTGCACAGAAGTATCGCCCTTACACGCGTCGGTTGTTTTCCGGATGAGCTTGCACAGTGTGTACATCGGTACTGACGGTACATGGTACATAATACATGCCGAGTTAAATGTTAGTGCTGTACATTCGTATAAGTAATTCTGTTTGCGTGAATTAAAAGACTTTTGCTGCGCTTCCGGTAGGTGAAACGTTTTTTTTGCGTATTCAAAAAATGATGTTATATCTATAAACTATAAAGTTTTAAGTGTTTGTGAATGTACATACGACTATTCTCGTACCATGTATAAGAGGGGATGTCAGTGGCTCACCTAGATAATCCCTGTACTTGCTGCCGTCAGCCGACTGGAGCATGACGTTGTGGCTATACATGGTGCTTATGTACCGCGCCAGATTTAGCCATATGTATTGCCGTAACGTCACACTCCAGGCGGGTGACGGCAGCAATACAGGGAATCGTCTAGGTGCGCTACTGTCATCCCCTCGTATACTATCGCTATCGCAGGTTCTTGGTGTACGGATAATAAGCAACCTTGTTTTTTATGTACTATATGAACGCATTCCGAACGCTGAACGACAGAACTTGAACTTTTCTTATTGGCACATGATGTATCAAGTATCATCGTAACAACAAGCCAAGCATCACCGCGACACAATAGCCACGACAAAACAACCAGCGTTCAACCGCGTATACGCGTCTGGAATTGCAACCCACCAGTAATACCAACATCATCGATGTGAAAGCATAACAATTCGGCATATAAGGATATGATAAGTAAATATCGTAACATGAAGGGAGGAATATCACAAAGGCATGTTGCTTCTACAGTATGTATTATATACAAAGAGGAGTAAAGGGAGGCGAGCCGGTTCAGTAATAGCTGTTACCGCACTGTTTAAGGAACTGCTGGTAGGCTTCCTCGTCCTCGGCGGTGCGGATGCTTCTTCGGCGCTGGTTGTCGCTCATCAGGTCGAATTTCTCCTCCTCCGACAACTGGCGGCCGACTTCCTTCCGTAAGGCACGGCGGTTATCCTGTTCACGTTCCCATTGCTGCAAAAGGTCACCGATTAGAATACCGAACAAACACAAAAGAAAGTCGCCAAAATATGGCACACCTATATTTTAATTTCCAAATTTAGGAACAGAATAGAGAGGAATTTTTCTTGTGCAGAGTATTCTTGTGCATGCAGCTTTCAAGTATAAATGTATTTTTTTAAATGTCTATAAATGTCTAATATTTTTTTAAATGTCTATAAATGTCTAGTTTCTAATTAAGTTCTTAAGCACAATTTTTAGTGAAAAAGAAAGCGGATTTGAAAGAACGGCATTTGCAGTAAGTAATTCCTTTCAAAGCAATAAGAAACCATTGCACCATATAGCATAGATAGAAGAAATATACAAAGGTCAAGGAAGTTAAAAAATAAAAAAAATCAAATTATTAGGCAGTCTAAAATTTAATGAAGGTCATCGGTACTTACGGCCTTGGCTTTGCCGGGAACCCATTCCTGATCCTGGGAGTTCTTCCGCGAGCTCGACATTTTCAAACCGGCAGATAAAAGGTAGCGCAGACTACGAAAACCAAAGGTCACCCGAGCTGTTTACACAGCGAACGTAAGAAAACGCAGTGGCAAAAATCAGCGTACTCCTTGTGAGCGTTCAAGAAATGTAATAACACTAATTAAGCGAATGGCCTAACGAGCAGCTCGCGGCGCATTTATATAGCCGGTGGCGCGCATGTCCTACTTTCCCTCAGCGCGGCGCAAGATAATCCCTCGTCACCGGAGCGCGGATACAAAAATAGCCACCCGCCGAAGCAAGCTGCGTTGTATTTTTACATGATGCAACGGAAATGTTGACGCCGGATGGGCGCGAGATCGGGTTGTCATGTATTTGTGGATGGCATGCTGAAGTTATCCGGAAAAAATAATAATTATCACCGCACGCTAACGGACATTCCGCAGACGTGTACCAGGAACTAACACCGCCAACATTA